GACTATATGGTTACAATACTTGATGGCAGTCTATACAAATATTGTATTATGGGTGTAAAGCCTTACCTGCTAATGTTTTAATTTCCTATTTATTTAAATATTTTTAAACGAAATTATAATTTTTGACTCACTAGAAATTTTAAGTTATTACAATTTATTTCTCAAGGAAGGCTAAGATCTTAATTTAAAATTTTTACTGTAAACTATCTTGTATACTAGTGTATTTTAATGTTGTTGAAGCCTTATTTAGCCAATGCTAATTGTGATCTTTCAGAGACAATAATTAAATTAGACAGTCAGTTAAAGTATGATAATAATGTAGTGCGAGACAGATGTCCAAAATAATTTGGTTTTAAAATATATGCAATGGTACCTTATTAAATACTAGATAATAATAGGCTACAAAAATTTCCTATTTGTTTACTTCTACCTGTCAACTCCTTAGGCGCCTCCTTTGTTGTCCTCGTGTCTCGCGTGAGTATCTTATTTTTTTAATCCTTCCTGCCCGCATCTACTAATTCTTTTCCATTTCAGCATGTCGGGCGGAATTTCTTGCTTGGAGCTTTCAAAAGATGACGTCAGACTCATGCTTGCTGCCGGTACTTTTTTAGGCACATGCAACTGTAATTTCCAGATGGCAAATTACGTATTCGCGCGAAACAAAAATGGAAACTACATAATTAAGTTGAATAGGGTCTGGGAGAAAATTATTCTCGCAGCTCGGGCCATTGCTGCTGTAGAAAACCCTGCAGATGTTATTGCCGTTGGTCTAAAGCCAAATACGCAACGAGCAGTCCTTAAGTTTGCCCAATATACTGGCTGCACGGCCGTGGCAGGTCGTTTCACGCCAGGAGCTTTCACTAACCAAATTCAAAGTGGATTTAAACAGCCTCGACTTCTCGTCGTCAGTGACCCTCTATCCGATCACCAACCTATCATCGATGCCAGCTGCGTCAACGTCCCTGTCATTGCATTTTGCAACACTGATTCGCCCCTAAAGCTCGTTGACATTGCAATCCCATGCAATAACATAGTGAGTTGGTTGTTCATGTTTTTACTTACAGAATGAAAACTCTATTGCTTTAGGTTGGTGGATGCTGGCCAGAGAAGTCAGGCGTATCAAGGGTAAGGACTCAAGGTCTCAGCCATGGGATATAATGGTTGACCTCTTCATCCACAGAGAATCGAATGAGGAGAAGGATGTCGAGACCAAAACGCCATATGAGGATACACGTACTCAGCAAACGACTGCTCCTGCTGATACCGAAGGAGTAGAGAACTGGCCTCATGAGTCCCTCATGATCGGAACAGGAGCAGCGGAGCTTGCCAACACCGGTATGACAACTGGTGGCTACGGTAGGGTTCCTGGGGCAGTTGGTGGGGATTGGGGTGATTATGAGGACAGTCGGCCGTGGTAAATACTCGCAATAAATTTTCAATGTGGAATTTTTTGATATCTTTTCAAGGGCTGCAATTACCTAGCTTATTCTGGGTTAAGTGCCTCTGCTGCCCCATGTTTTTCCTCAGTTCCGATTCGCGTGTAGTTTGAACATTTTTAGGTATGATCAAATATTTCTTGGAATTTGTTATATTTAAAAGGGATTGCGATTCGTTCCCAGTGT